TCCCTCCCTCCGAGGGGTCTGGCTTCGCAACTTTGCCAACTGTATTCCCGAGTCCACCTGCCTGCAAAGCTCTAAGGACAGCCTGTCAAGGCTGGTGGCTCCCTCTGTACAGATGCAGCCCCAGAAGCACCTGGAGGTTGCCCAGGCACCAGCTCCCACCGCTCTGTGGGAGTCAGGGGTGTGATGAAAACAGCCTGGCAGCCAGGCTCCCCTAACTGGGCCCATGAAGTGGCCAGGAGTGTTTTGTAGAACCAGGCAACTGCTCCTGAATGAGGGTGGTCAGGGAGGAGCCCAAGGTACATAAAGGGCTCTACTCCGCTCAACAGCCTGGGACCAGAACATTCCTGATTGGGGTCACAGAGCCCTCCTCATCAGGAGGCGTGCCTGTCTGGCCTCTGGAAATGAACGTCTCTGTGATGAACTTGAGAAGACCCTTCTTCTCATCAGCTTTCCCCCGTGGCCTTGACAAGAAGGGAACTATCCACACTTCCCAGTGTAGGGTCCAGGGGTGATCTTTGGGAGGATTTTCTTTTGGGGGGGGAAGGATCAAAGGCACTAGTCTGAGAGGGCTCGGCAGTTCTCTGGGTTCAGAATCTGTAAGGAAAGAAACTGCCCACGTCTCATGTGACTCTTGGAAAGTATAGCACGAAGCCATTTATCTTTATCAATGTATGCTTCTGCAAACTTAGAACAAGGTCAACGTCTGGGTGATGAAAGCTTCAGGAGCAGATAGTAAGGACAGTTTCTCAGTGTATGTGGCATCTCTTCTGCAGCCAAGACCAGCTGCTTTACCAGATCTGAGCTTGTGGCCAACTTGTTATAATCTTTTCTTTTCAAGTTTATTTTCAGAGAGAAGGAGCACCAGCGGGGGAGAGGCAGAGAGGGGGGAGAGAATCCCACGCAGGCTCCCCACTGTCAGCACAGAGCCCGATGTGGGGCCCGATCTCACGAACTGGGAGATCGTGACCTGAGCCAAAATCCGGAGTTGGACGCTTAACCAACTGACCCCCGCCACGTGCCCTGCGAATTGCTATAATCCTATGAGAACCTATTTAGATCAGGGTGGGGGTTCTCTTCCATTCCTGTGGCTGTGTTTGAGGGGAGAACAGATATGTTCTAGATTGTTCCTTCTTAGCAGATCATGGACAGGCACTGACCACAAGACTGCCAGTTTGTTTAACGACAATTCAAGAGAAGTTTTTGAGCTAGTGGAAGGGAATACTACTTGGCTAGGTACAAAAAGGCCAGTGGGGAAGGGGGAAGGGTTGGGCCGGAGGTGAACAGAAGCGGAACAGGTTCATAGGAAACAGGGAGTCCCAGCACCCTGGCTTCTGCTTGCTCGATGCCTCGCGTGCGTGCACATGCGCGTGCGTGCACACAGCGGGGGCTATTCCTCTGTGGGTCTCCCCTCCGCACTCTGGGTGGACAGCAGAGGACAAGTCTCCCTTCTCAGCTTGCTTTCATTGCCCAAGAGCAGGGGCTGACACACGGCCTGTGAGGGATGTGGCTGTCCTCTCTGGCAGCGAAGGAACCGGGCCCTAGACTTGGGCCAAGAGCAATCATGTGAGTAGATACACCGGGGCTCACAAGATGGCTGACCATGTCTGCATAGCAGATGGGATCCTTGGTTTTATTATTTTTTTTTGAGAGCGTGCAAACGAGCGAGGGGGAGAGGGAGAGGGAGAGAGAGAGAATCCCACGCAGGCTTCGCACTGTCAGCGCGGGGCTCGAGCCCACCCGATGTGGGGCTTGAGCTCACCATTAGATCATGACCCGAGCCGAAGTCAGATGCTGAACTGACTGAGCCACCCAGGTGCCCCAGGATCCCTGGATTTTAAAAGTTTAGCTCCCACCCCACCCCCCCCAACACAAACACATAAGAGTTCGTGGTCTGGAGGTCAGAAAGCACTATAAAACGTTTCTTATAAAAGTATTTTTTTTTTAATAAATCGATGTATTTCAATGTTGTTAACATGATAGCCCAATGCTATATATCAAGGTAGCAAAAGTGAAATTCCTGGTATTTTTTTATATAAACACTATGAATGACAGTACATTTGCATTCAACTTCACAAGAGATTATCTTCAGGTTCATGAAGATTCTTTAACAGCTGTAACACCTTTCAAACAGCGAAGATGTGTATCGAGTGCGGAGACAATGCGAGTCTAACAACTGAGCTGAGCCCTAAAACCACACTGAAGGGAAAACGGGACACGATGGCAGTATGGCCAGCTTGCCGAACAGAACCCAAAGAAAACACAGCAGGTGTCAAAGGTATGGAGTATCTTGCAGAAACCGAGCCACAAGAAGACGCACACGTTAGAGCCCTGAAGCAGTGAATGTGTTTCTACCCGTTTTGTGATGGAGGGAAGCCGTGGAAACAGAGGCCCGAGCTGCCTGTAGTGTTGTCTCCTCGTGCACATGGTGCCATCGATTGGCTAACACCAGAGTTCCCTGCTCTGTGCAAATAAATGCTGGTGAAGGGAGCCTGTGCCAGAGCCGTGGGTCAGAGCAACCCCGGCTGGGCTTCAGGCATCACTGTGGCATCACCGCCTCCTACAAGGCCAGAGGCCATGTTCCAGAGCTGACGCCCCCTTCTCAGGGTGGACAGACCCCCCCCCCAACCCACCCAAGGGCGCTGAAAACACCGCTCCTGACCCTCCAACACTCTATTTCTGTCCAACCCACTGTGAGAAACGCGTTTCGCTCGGTGACGATGACAGAGTCTCTGACTCCATCCTGTCACGTGTATCTTCACGACTGGGTCTTTCTGAGCAGAGATCACAATTGCGAGAACACAATTCTTTTCCTCCAAGGGCAGGGAGACGCTGGTTAAATGCTAGTTAATTAAGTCCAGTCTCAATTTTGAACTGCAGCCTGGAACGGACTTAAATGAGATTTTCTACAGTGAAGACATTTCTGTATCTTTCAACCTCGAGTACAATTTAGGCTGCGGGCAATCTCACGCCCAGAACCGTATCTGCTGGCTGCCAGCGTGACAACGGGC